AATGAAATGAAATGAAATGAAATGAAATGAAATGAAATGAAATGAAAAATGAAAGCTGGAGCCCCTGCCCCAAAGCTGTAAGGCCAGAGGAGTCTTCGGGATTTCTTCATTGGAGACAGAACTGAGGCAACAAGCAGAAAAAAGAGAAACATTTATCTGGGGGCCTTTTATTGACCCAACAATATTCCAGGAACTGGATAAAGGTATTGAAAATGGGGAAAGCCCAGGAATAACAAGGGAGAGGGAGGTGCTTGCCTCCCTCTGATTATTAATCAGAGAACGTGAGATTTAAATGGGCAAGTGTTTGCTTCTCCAAAATCTTCTTTTCTGACCCCAGAGGTGGCTTAATTATTTTAGTCTTTGAGAGTAGAGAAGTTAAGAGTAGCTCTCAAAGTTTACAGCAGTAACTTATTAAGCACCTGTTAAGTGCAAGGGCCTGCACTAACTGTCTGGGCCATGCGGTGGTGAACTGGAGAAGGTCCTCGACCTCAAGGAGCCTAGCCTCCAGGCTGGGACAAATCCACGGCTATCTACAAAACAAGGCACAGCGAGTCAACGGCCAAAATAAGGCACGACGGAGTTATTATCCCGGCTTTAGGGTCTCGAACGCCACCTCACTTGGGCTGAGTGACGACAATCAGGGGCGTGACTGAAGCCAGGCTAGCAAGCTCGGCAAACTGACTTTTCCAATAAATGACATGTCTAGACATGTTCCAGGGCTTTAAAATCTCTAGAGTCTTTTTTTTTTTTTTAATCATTCGATTTTATTACAGAATTGATAAGCCATGAGTTTTGATCACCTGCTGTATTGGCTTGATCACTGCCATCTTTTCAATCAGCAAAAGTAACAGAAAATGGCATAAGAGGTTGTGTGGGGGAAGCATCAGGAGGCAGCGTCCTATGGTTTGCAGTTAAGAGGTGTTTCCACAGCTTCTATTACTGTCAGAGCTTAGAAGTGTGGAAGCTAATAACACAGGCTTTTTCATAGGAAGCCTTCCCCTTTTTTGAGCCCCATAAGGCTGACCATTAGGGATGCCTTGGATTGGGAATAAGAAGCCTCACGGTCCTCCCTGGTGGAGGGAAAAGACAGGAGCATCACCAAAGACCTGCCCTCTGCCAGGTATCACCGGCCCCTTGCACCCTTGCTGGGTGTTGATTATTAGTCTACTCTTCCCATTTGACAGATGAGAAAAAGAAGAATGGAGAAGCTGAGTAACTTGCCGAAAGGCGCAGAGCTGGAATTAGAACCTAGATCTGTTTTGTCTCCCAGGCCTGCGTTCTTTCCACCTGACTGTGCTAAGTGAGTGCAAGCCGCTGTCAGATGTGCGGATCAGGAGTAGCCTTGAGGGAGGGAAATTAACCAAGCGTCTATAGTTCCATGCTTTACGTAGACACCCAGACCACAGTGGCTGCCAAATCTGGTACCCAAATCAGGGGATCGGCTTGCATCAGAAACTGAAACCCTACAATTTTCATTTACTAAAACACATGTTTCTGAATGTTATGTGTGCCTCTTCCAACAAGTGATGTAATTAAGTTGGTTTTAAAAATGTGCTACACCCCATGCATTTTGGTCTCCTTGTATTTCATAGGCACACAAAGGAAACTGATTGTCACAGGTGGTGCTTTTCAATATATAATTTATTCTCTGTGCTTCACGTCTGAGGTCTTCTGATTCAGGTCCAACCCCTGAGTCTGGGAGCACATGAGCTAGCTGACAGGAGGACCAAGGGCTCATGAATTTGGTTTGGAGTCCGAGGAAGCTTGCCTGGAATCTACTTTGGTCTAGCTCCCCTGAACCATTTCAGATCTGCTTTACTGTGACTATAATCCCTAGGGCAGCTGCTGGGACCAAATCAGGCTCTCTGGTGTCCTTGGGGCCAGGAATGAAGCAGCTAGAGACTTCCCGGGTCCCAGTCAACCCCAACAGAGCCCTTCATTTAGACCATGAAGACAGGAGGGCAGGCCTGCA